TGACTAGGACCCATTCTTGGTAGACCTGCATAGCCCAGTGTTAGCAAGAATTTTGCTAAGTCAATTTAGAGAGTATTTCCTACCCTGGATGTCTGAGCACCATCTTTATCTGATTTTTGAAGCCTTTGTCTTCACTCCTGACTGATTGGGGATCTATTGGTGAGGCTAACTCCTGAGCCAGTGCCCCAGATGACAGTAATTAATCTTAAGATTCTAAGTATACTCTCTGAAGCTGGATGACAGGCCCAGGCTTCTTTGTTTGAAAGGTACTTCTTGGGCTGAAAGTCTTTCTTCCTGGCTTTTTGTTTTCAGTGATGATTTATTCCTGGGCTGCAGAGGATTTTCCTGGCTCTGTGTAGACCTCTGTTTTCTCGACTACATCCTGCTTCTCCCTTGGGAACTTCTGAATCCACTGAAATGCCCTTCTTGAGATTTTGCTGATTCTATGCTCTGCCACCTCTGCCTACTTTCTTTCTTGGTGGCATGACTTTGCTAAGGGTAATTTGGAACTTCATTGGCTTCTTTTGGAAAACTCAAGATCTCCCCAAACTGGCTCCTCCAAGATCTCTCCCTTCCCATTGCTTCTGATTCTCATTCCTCCCTTTATAGTTGTTGATCTACTTTTCAACTCCCTTGAATTCCTTGATATGTACCTCTTCAGATTTCTATCTTCAGCATCTCTCTGTCCCCTCCGCAAGACTTTTCCCTTCCCACTGCAGTTTCTCAACTCCCTATAGTCATTTGGACTTTAGCCTCCCTGCTGATCATCAGGGGCTCTCAAGGGACTCAAGGACTCCTGAAAGCAACTATTTGTGGCTGAAAAGGAAGAAAAGATCATCAGAAATACACTGGATGCTTTATACACTCAGATAAGCTTTGGAAACATCCAGACAGCTGTTTGATGTCTCCTCAGTCAGTTTCTCACCTAAAATTTCCATCTATAGCCTCTATACCATTATATATCAAGGCAAATGAAAAATCTTGAAAGTCTCCTCCACAAATATTGATTAAAAAGCATTAGCTCTCCTATTGAACAGGTTTCCTTGACTTTCCCCTTCTGCCAGAAACATAATTTAGATAAAAATATCACAGGAAGCATAGACCAGAGTGTATTACAGTGTTTAACCTGACTCATGGCTAAAATTTTAGAATGAAAGGTACAAGATCTTTGTACTTTTTTTTTTAATATATGTGTTTTTATATATGTGTATATTTGTATGTACATTACGTATATGTGGTATTTTTCTATTTTTGGATTATATTGCCAAATTAAGCCATATAATCCCATAAAAGAACTCTATTCAGATTGGCTGAAAGGTAAATGAGACCTTATAAAAAATAATCCTAAAATGTCCCCAAAACAGAAACTAATCCAGTTACTTTGCTTTTAAAGTTTATATGACTTGAGTAAATTTTTTGTAAGTGATATTAGTTTAATATTGTCGGCTTAAAAATAACAGTGTCTTCTGAGTATGATAAGTACGTACATTCTGTTGTACTTGGGTACAACAAATGAAGTTGTATTATATTTAGATGTTTAAGATTATTAAATTTTGAAATTCAACCCAAGACCAAATGTACAGGTTAAAATGTAGGAGAAATTAATTGCCTGATATTCATGACTCCTTGTATATCAAACATAGCAGCAAAAGAAAATTCCATTTGTTTAACTTTTTTAGGTTTTTGCTTTTATGCTGCTTGCCTAACATGCATATGCTGTAAAAATAGTTAACTGGGAAATAACTGAGATGATGACAAGCTTTGTTGTTGAGTACGTCCGCCTAAAAATAGTTTCCATGTCTTTTCCAGACCTACATATTCCAGTTTTAGTAATTCTGCTAAATCAGTTTAGAGAGAATACCCTACCCTCAATATTGATCAAATTCCACATCCCCTTCCATACCCCAGGTGATGTGTCTGATCACCCTAGCCTGCCTTTAGCAAGAAGCCTAAGTCTGTCCAATCAGAATCTTCCCCTGCCTTAATTTTTCTTCTTGGTAATTTTCCTTCTATTGATTCTGCTCCTTGGCTATAAATTCTTACTTGTCCTTGCTGTATTGGGAACTGAGCCCCATTCTGTACTGAGATCTTTTTTCCCAATTGTAGTATTTTCCAGAATAAAAATATGTTTTTACTACTTTAGTTACTGTCTGGCTCTTTTGCTGTTACTTATATGTTTTACAATATAAATAGTATGCATTCTGGAAGAACAATTACTGTCATATGTGCACATTGACATATTTCAACTTGTAGTTCTATAAAACCAATTATGTGCAAAATGTGAATTGGTTTTTGTGTACAGATAGAATGTCCATAAGGTAGCAATCCCTGACAGTTTTCTATCTTATTTATTGCTGAAAACCCAGGATATAGGAAAACATACATTGGAAGAGCTGATCAAACACAGTCGTGTGAAAAGGAAGGCAATGCATTGCCATTCAAATAAAGAAGTTATTTTCTGGTGGTAATTTACATTGTTGCATTTACAGACAGCAGTTGGTGGTCAAAAGTATGCTGTTTGGTTTTGGCTTATTACTGAAGGAAATGCTGATAATTATTAATACTTTCAAATTATATCTTTTGAATACATTTATGCCTTTTTTATATACCATGTGAGAAATTAGGCAGCAAGTATAAGTCTGGCTATGAGCAAGAAAGATGCTCATACTTATTTATGATGCTGATGATTCTAATAAGACCATTTTGAGTAACTTATTTGAATAAAATGAAACAGCAGTATATTTGATATGTTGAATTTGCTTGAAACTTTAGACTCAAATTATTTCCTTTTAAAAATTTGCAGATGAGAGATGAAGATTTCTTTTAAGAAAACTGAAATGTGGTATAAAATGGCTTAACCTTTAAGTCTTTCCAATATTCTTTGATAATATCTTTATATTTGGAGAAAGAAATACATGATTTATTGTCATATATGTTGAAAAGTCACATTGCTACAAATACAATTTTACATACATAATATATGAGCAAATAATACATGAGCAAATGAAGAAGTAATTTTTAGAACTAAATGCAACTTTAGGAAGGATTAGAAATCTATCTACTTTATATCCCAAGTTGGAAAGTCAAATTTTATGCTTTCGTTTGCTTATTTGCTCAGTTTCATTGCTCAGTTTAATGCCTGGTGGAGTTCTGAAACTCATCAGTGAGAAGTATTTATGATTTCAGGTTTACAATACTCCAAATACCTTGACTTTTTTTTTTTGTTTTTTTTTGACAAACCACCACATATTTATTGTCATTCAATAGTCTTTAATTGAGAATCAGGACTTTCTAATTTGATAAAAGTAGTAAGACTAGAAACTGATTGGATGTGGTCTTCTGGCTCAAAGTCTTTGTCATTGGCCAGACATTCGCCTGGGTAGAGCACAAACAAAATCTGATCTCTTTCACTGATGGAAAGTATAACAACAACAACAACAATGATAATAGACGTAATGATATGTTTTTCAAAATGATTTTGTTTGAAAAAAGTTCTTAACTACTATGTTTTTCTGAATATAGATGCTAACATAACTTGTCACTTTTGTAAATCCTTTGTTAAAAAAAGGGTAGCAGCTTACTGTGGATCAAATATTATTCTAAGTATTATGAACTCATAATTGTGAAAGAGCCAGTAATTTACAGACTGAGGCATGGAGAAAATAAACTTTCTAATGTAGCCAGTTGTTAACTGGCAGACCAAAATTTGAACAGAGTCTGGTAGTAAAGTATGTGCTCTTAGCCATTACCTGACACAGGAAGGTAGTACTGGAGAAGCCTTGGAGGTGGTTTTTAAATTTTTTTTATTTTGAGGTCCTCTAATGTCTTTCTTTGCCCTTTTCACATACAATTTCTCCATATTCTCCTCCTCCTCATTATTATTATTCCTACTACTACTTTTGTCAACACTAATAAGTATTTTGATTAGAATCCTTTGAGGAGAGAGGTGATTACAAAGAAGGGGATACCTTGGAGACAGAGAGAGAGAAAAGATCACTTTTGTGGCTCAAGATCATATCCTTAGTCTTGGCCAATTTTTTTTTTTCTGTGGCTATGGGGGCCCAAAGGCAATTTAAATGACTTGTAACCTATCATCTCTAATCTCCTAAATACTTCAAAATTGCATGCTCATTTAAGAGTGTCAGTGTGAACTGATAGCATTATCTTCCCCCATGAAAGTTTTGCACAGATCATAAACACTTTAAAAATTTTGATTTTATAAGTCAGCTTTCTTAGAGGTATATTATAAAGCTTTCTATGTATAGGAATGTTTTTTTAAAGCATTGGTTTTGTACAGCTTTGTTTACTGTCTTAATATTATTTGTTAATGAATGAATCTCAAATTATAGTATTGCCATAAAAGAGTTAAAATAGGTCAAATTGTAGAACAAAATGTTTTGGCTTTTTTTCAACATACCAGTTTGCTGGCTGTTATGTTCACCCTCTAGAGTGAAAGGTTAATACAATTTGATAAGATACGCAGTTTGACCCATTCAGATATTTTTGATTCTTCTCATTTTGAGGGTCATTTATTAATTAGAAGTAGCAAAGAGTGGGACCTACATATTTTTGTTCTGGGTGAGTATTCTTTTCAAGGGTGACTTTAGGTAACTACACCAAAACAGAAAGAAGCTCATTCACTGTGAAAATTTATTTTTGTCTTGGTAGTTGTATATCTTTTTTTTATCTTATTGAAACTTGGGTCATAATTTTATTTTAAAATTGATGTTTTCATAATAAGAAGACACAGTGAATTTTTGACCAATATAACATGTCTAAATTTATTGAATGCCTAGTATATATGTGATGTACTGCATTTGTATTGAGGAATACGTAATAAATAGAGAATAAGCCACAGCCCTGGCACTTACACATTTATTTCCATTTGTCTAGTATATCAGATTATGACCCATATTGGCTGTTGTATCAAAATTGTCTTTATTTAAATAAATTAAGACTATTCTATTGATATATATTCCTTTTTTTTTTTTTAATTACAGAAGAAAATACTCAGGAAGCATCACAGCTGAAGAAAAGTTTGAGTGAAAAAGTTTCTCTCTATAGAGGTGACATCACATTGCTAGAGGTAGATGCTATAGTCAATGCGGGTGAGTACTTGATTTTTTTTGTGATGTATTATGTGAGTATTATCTTAAAATAATTTTCATAAACAGGAATGTAGGTATTTTAGAAAAAGATGTCCTTCCTGGTATAGAAATAGTTTATGTAGTTCTGGCTTAAAAACACTGAAGATTTATATTATGTATGTGCTGCAGTTAATTTGCTAACTCATGGTATCCATACTAATTTGAGACTAGGGTACTGGACCTTTGGAAAAGTGATAGATTATTACAGAAAGTTCTTCAGAAAGAATTTTAGCAGCTCTACTATTGTTGGTTTCATGCTTGGTTAATAATTTACCAACATAAAAACAAATTCATCAAGTTTTTTCCTTCTTTTGAATAGGTTGTAAAGATATGATTGAACTACAGCAGAAAAATGTAAACTAGAAAGTAATTATTCTTGCGATTTCCAAGGAATAATTTGGTTGCTACTTTTCATGTTTGCTATGAAATGCTTTATTCTAATTATTTTAATAATCAAGTAATTTTTATGTTTGAAAATAGGGAAAATTAACTTATTTATGGTGATATCTTCTATATATTTTATTATGTGGCTATATATAAAATACATAGAAGTTGTGATTCTATAAAAATAAATGTCAATAATAAAAGGATATTTAATTATTTTAATTTGTGTTTTGTAAAGGTAGGCTTTTTTAAGGCTGTAAATGACAAATAAAAATAAATTTGGACTGAGGTAAGGAGAGGCCTGTTCAAAAAGATTATTACAGTAAAGGGAAGAGTACTATTGTGATAGGAGGAGGAGGATATGGCAACAGAAGAACCACTTTGACCAGGAGATCTATAATCATCTCAAAGGTCAAACAGAAAAGGGCTTTTCTTTTGTAGGGAGAAGTAAACAGGCTAAAAAGAATTGAGTGTGGGAGACTGGGATGAGTGGATGGTGTGACTGGACAGTTGATTAGGGAATACTCTTCCCTGAGGTCAGCTGATTCTTGGGAGGGATCATTCAAGAAGGATTGTTCACCTTCCATTGCTCAAGGATGGGTCAAAGTCCAGAGGCTTGAAAACAGGAGAAAAGCCTTACTAAAGTTTGGTCAACTGCAGTTAAGAACTGTTGACCAATCAGAGTGGTCAATGGAAACAAACAGTTCAGCTAGTCATTTATGAGTGAAAGAATAGGAATTTGGAGGATGTATCTTGGTCTTGTCATAGGTTACAAGGGGTCATCAATGAGTTTTATCTAAGTCACATGGGGAAGCATTATTCTGTGCTGGTAAGCTGTTTCCTGAAACACAAAAGGGTGAAAAGTAATTTTTTGGCAGTCTCTGTTTTCCAGGAGTACAGGGTTCATGTGAAGTTTCAATATTGTCTTGAGGTGTCCTCTGGTGATGAACAAATTCACACAGGATGGTAGGAACATGATTTGGTGGGTGAACAGAAGGGTCTCACAGAGAACTGGAACATTGTTTAGTAGATAAGTAGACTTCTAGCAGGAATTCTGGAAGCCTAGTCAACTTGTTATTCCCTCAGAATTGGCTGTTAGTTGCTTTGCCATAGTCAGAGCTGTTTTTTTTTCTTTTTCTCTTCTTCTGATTCCTCTCGTAATTCTTTTCTCCTCTGCTGCCTCTCTAAAATGCAAAACTCTACATGAGAGGGGATCAGCTTCAGTATTTTAATCAGCACTCAATATGAAGCACTTACTTTGGATAGAATTCTATCTTCATGCCACCTCATAGGCTACAAGTCTCCCTTATATCTAATCTCTGTGGACTGTTCATTTGTGGCCTTGGGTATCAAGATGCTTTTCTCTGATCTGTAGGGCCTCTGGGGAAGACATGCCCTTAGAAAGAATCCCATTAACTCCTCTCTAGTATGGAGGTTTAATCAGATATTACTGTAGTTATTAAGTCATTAATGATTTATTATGTTCTAAATTCTATAAACATGTAAGCTTTAATTTAAAAAAATTAAAAGCTTTTATGTATATATAACAGCAGCCTTCCTATATATTCTTGTAATTTCTAGCTGTTAATCCTGGTTCTGTTTTATGGAGTACAACTGATGACATGAATTTTCTTCTTAAATACCCAAAGATCACTCTCAAGTTTTCTCTTTCTTGTTATTAACAATATATTGAATTTGCCATATTAGTGCACTTAATGTTAGAAGCAATTGTGGTTTTTTCTTAGGTTTTGTTAACTGTGTACATGTGTATCTCCCCCTTGAGGCTATAGACTGGTGTCTTTTCCATTTTTTTGTGTCACCTTTCAAAGCAATGTCATTCCATTATGTTCTTAATAAACAATTGATATGGTATGTGTGTTAAATTAAACTACACACAATTGAACCATATGCTACAAAGCACCTTTGAGCAATAGCACATTCAGCATTGAGGACTTGATATAGTGAAACAATTTGGCTCTGATTTTAAAAATGACTTATTTGATCAATCAATAAAAATAATTATGAGCTGGGGTGCCTGGGTGGCTCAGTCAGTTAAGTGTCCAACTTTGGCTCAGGTCATGATCTCATGACTCATGGGATGAGTCCTCATTGGGCTCTCTGTTGTCAGCACAGAGACTACTTCAGATCCTTTGTACCCCTCTGTGTCTGCCCCTCCTCTGCTCAAGCACATGCTCTCTCTCAAAAATAAATAAACATTAAAAAATAATTATGGGATAATTTTTATTGAAATTATATTGAAATAAAATGGTGCCAAACAGGAAAACATCACTAATAGGAAAAAACATCCCATCACAATTTTGATTCTTGTTCTCGCCTGTATGTGTATGTGTAATTTTTTTTTATAGCTGCCACATAGTGTGTACAAGGGTTTGATGAATTAATATAAAGGCAGGCAGTAACTTTCACTCACTCCTAGAAACCATTTGGCACCTTTAACTCACCCCTCTGTCTGAGATTATATTATAATTTGGCCATGTTCTGCATCTCACAAGGATAACCTCATTAGGAAGTTCCTGAGTATATGGAAAAGAGATGCCAAATGTACAGTGCAATGACTCTATTTACAGCTTTCTGCTGTGCAGTTTGTTTGCCTGGTGTGTAAAGAGAGGAACAGCTGTTAATCTTTGAAGTGAACAAGGCAGCATGGCAGGAGACTCCAGAGCTACCTCTGGTGAGAGGGGAATGAGAGGCAGTGCCTCCCAGTCAGGGTGCCAAAGCAGCCCAGACATCACTTCCTATCAAACCTCTAAAGTTCTCTTTCCATGTTCATGTTAATATTAGCTCATTGGAACACCTAGGCTTACTTGCCATGAATGAAGTGATTTGATATTTAAACTTTTTATTTTTTTTTTTATTTTTTTTAATTTTTATTTATTTATTTTTTTAATGTTTTCTTTATTTCTAGGAGAGAGGGAGACAGCTGTGAGCAGGGGAGGGTCAGAGAAAGAGGGAGTCACAGACTCTGAAACAGGCTCCAGGCTCTGAGCTGGTAGTCAGCACAGAGCCCGACGCGGGGCTCGAACCCACGAAGCGTGAGATCATGACCTAAGCGAAAGTCAGACGCTTAACCGACTAAGCCACCCAGGCGCCCCGATATTTAAACTTTTTAAAAAAACTTTTTTTGCAATAAAGTACTCTTTGAACTTCCTTAGATTTCTTTAAATGTGACCCAGGATGAGCCTCCTATGTATTTTATTCTTCTCTGTAGGAACTAATGCGTATTTGTTATATTTTAACAAAACAGATTTTATAGGCTGTAGGGTATACAGAGCAGTAGCACAAGTTTTAGAATCAGGCGGACCCAGGTTCAAATTCAGGTTCTCATACCCAGGGCCATTTTTTGTTTAAACTTTTTATGTTGAGATAATTATAGAAAATTGCAGAGAGAGTACAAAGAGTGGGAGCACCTGGGTGGCTCAGTCGGTTAAGCACCTAACTTTGGCTCAGGTCATGATCTTGTGGTTTATGATGAGGTTGAGCCCTGCTTTGGGTTCTCAGTGGCAGTGCAGATCCTGCTTGGGATTCTCTTTCTCTCCCTCTTTCTGTCCCTTCTTCACTTGCTCGGTCTCTCTCTCTCTCTCTCTCTCTCTCTCTTCACTCTCAAAATAAATAAACTTAAAAAAAAAAAGATAGTACAAAGAGTCCTGTATACCCTTCACCTCCACCTGTATAAGCCTCCCCCAATGGTGACATGATACAGCTATAGTATAATGTCAAAACCAGGAAATTGACACTGGTATATTACTATTAACTAGACTGTAGACCTTATTCAGTTTTTACTATTTTTTCCCTTGCATTCATGTGTGTGTGTGTACAGTTCTCTGCAGTCTTATCCATTTACAGATTCATGTAACCATTACCATAAAGAAGATACAGAACTGTTCAATTATCATGAAAGAACTCCCTATGTTGTAGTATCTACCTCTTTGCCCTCCCCTTTCCACTCTCCACCCCCCATTCTTCATCTCTATACTTTTGTCATTTTAAGAATATTATATCACTGGAATCATACTGCATGTAACCTTCTGAGATTGATGTTTTTCACTAAATATAAAGCCCTTGAGGTCCATTCAGATTGTTGCATGTTTCAGTAGTTCATTCCTTTTTATTTCTGAGTAGTGGTCCCTTGCATGGATATACCAACTTATAGTATCCTCCCACTGAAGGACTTCTGGGTTCTCTAAACTATTTTGGTGTAACCAATTGAGCTGCTGTGGAGATTCATGAATAGGCTTTTGTATATAGCAGAGTATAGGATGATCTGTTTACTGTAACTATGTCCTTGTATAATTTTGCATTAAGGCTTTGGTCAAAGTGTTGTGGTTTTTGCTAAAGGTCAGGGGAGAATACATTCATCTAACTTATGGTTATCACTAATAACACAATGTTTTATTGTGGATATTAATTTAGTTAATAATATATGTGTATAAGAGAAGAGAGAACATGGTTTTAGGGGAAAAGGGGTAGAAAAACCCAGAGGAGGGGCGCCTGGGTGGCTTAGTCGGTTAAGCGTCCGACTTTCGCTTAGGTCATGATCTCGCGGTTCGTGGGTTCGT